TTTTTTATATTTATATATTTTTTTATATATTCGTTCTCTTTCATTTAGTTACTGACAAAACCTGGATTTTTATATATTATTTTTTTTATATATTCGTTCTCTTTCATTTAGTTACTGACAAACCTGGATTTTATATATTTATATTTTTTTATATAATCGTTCTCTTTCATTTAGTTACTGACAAAACCTGGATTTTTATATATTTATATATTTTTTTATATATTCGTTCTCTTTCATTTAGTTACTGACAAAACCTGGATTTTCATATATCTACATTTTTTTTATATATTCGTTCTCTTTCATTTAGTTACTGACAAAACCTGGATTTTCATATATTTATATTTTTTATAGAATCGTTCTCTTTCATTTAGTTACTGACAAAACCTGATTTTATATATTTATATTTTTTATATATTCGTTCTCTTTCATTTAGTTACTGACAAAACCTGGATTTTTATATATTTATATTTTTTATATATTCGTTCTCTTTCATTTAGTTACTGACAAAACCTGGATTTTTATATATTTATATTTTTTTATAGAATCGTTCTCTTTCATTTAGTTACTGACAAAACCCCGTTCTCTTTCATTTAGTTACTGACAAAAACCTGGTTTATATATTTATTTTTTTATATATTCGTTCTCTTTCATTTAGTTACTGACAAAACCTGGATTTTTATATATTTATATTTTTTATATTCGTTCTCTTTCATTTAGTTACTGACAAAACCTGGTTTTATATATTTATATTTTTTTATATATTCGTTCTCTTTCATTTAGTTACTGACAAAACCTGGATTTTTATATATTTATATTTTTTTTATATATTCGTTCTCTTTCATTTAGTTACTGACAAAACCTGGATTTTTATATATTTATATTTTTTTTATATTCGTTCTCTTTCATTTAGTTACTGACAAACCTGGATTTTTATATATTTTATATTTTTTTATATATTCGTTCTCTTTCATTTAGTTACTGACAAAACCTGGATTTTTTATATATTTATAATTTTTATATATTCGTTCTCTTTCATTTAGTTACTGACAAAACCTGGATTTTTATATTTATATTTTTTTTTTATATATTCTTTCTCTTTCATTTAGTTACTGACAAAACCTGGATTTTTATATTTATATTTTCTCGTTCTCTTTCATTTAGTTACTGACAAAACCTGGTATATATATATATATATTATTATTTATATATTCGTTCTCTTTCATTTAGTTACTGACAAAACCTGGATTTTTATATATTTATATTTTTTATAGAATCGTTCTCTTTCATTTAGTTACTGACAAAACCTGGATTTTTATATATTTATATTTTTTTATATATTCGTTCTCTTTCATTTAGTTACTGACAAAACCTGGATTTATATATTTTATATTTTTTTTATATATTCGTTCTCTTTCATTTAGTTACTGACAAAACCTGGATTTTTATATGTTTATATTTTTTATAGAATCTTTCTCTTTCATTTAGTTACTGACAAAACCTGGATTTTTATATATCTATTTTTTTTTATATACTCTTTCTCTTTCATTTAGTTACTGACAAAACCTGGATTTTTATATATTTATTTGTTTATAGAATCGTTCTCTTTCATTTTTTACTGACAAAACCTGGATTTTTATATATTATATTTTTTTACATATTCGTTCTCTTTCATTTAGTTACTGACAAAACCTGGATTTTTATATATTTATATTTTTTATATATTCGTTCTCTTTCATTTAGTTACTGACAAAACCTGGATTTTTATGTTGTTGAAAATTAAGATCATCTGATTGTCCATATATTTTATTGTGAGAAAATGAATGCTTGTTATTCGTATCAGATGTTGAACGTAAGAAAATGAAAATTATTTGTTTCTTTTCTTCGTTTTTAAATATGGCATCAGATTTAGCCACCTTTGGGGAATTCTTTTGTGCATATTTCGTTTCCTTTTTTCTTCTTTTTGAGATATTAATATCTTTAAAATTGTTAGAGCATTGCTTATCATGAAAAAATTCTTTCTTTCTTCTTTCTTACAAGGCAAATCAAATTTCAAAAGATTATGCCTAAAAGATTACAGTTCAATTATATTCTTTATCATATATATATATATATATATATATATATATATATATATATATATATATATATATATATATATATATATACATTTGTCATAGCAAGCTGAATTTTACTAATTTGCAAGAAGAATGTGTTGGCATGCTCAAAATGAAAACAAAGAAACAAAAGAAAAATTAGGCAAATGTAATAAGCTGATGTTAACAATAAAAAGAAAGTGTTTTTTTTTTTTACTCTTGTAGCAAAACTGGATTTGAGTCCAAGTGTTTCATAGTTTACAACACGTTCGGTAATCCTTTTTTAGTATATTTCTGACACTAAAGGCAATTTTCTCGTATATATCGAACACAAAAGAGATGTACTGATGCAATGATGAGGCTGACTGGCTTCTTATATTATTTAATATTTATTTATTCTGAAAATGCTACGATTAGATTTAATTTCAAATTAGCATTATAAATTTCTTGTTTCTTTTTGAAAATATAACACTTTAAGATTTCAAAAGTATAGACAAATGAGCAAATGAGTTACAGCTAAAAATTCACATCTAATACTAGTAAATATGAAATAATGACATTATTGTTAGGATTTACCACCTTGCAATTAAATATCATAATCGCCATGTAACCTATTTTAGAGAATTTGATACCAACGCCACAGCAGTCCTTGACATTGACACGAAGATCTAAACGACAGAATTTGAAAAATAAATAATTTCAAAATATCGCTGTTCCACCCCGAAGCCATAATTCCGAACGCAATTTTCCTCTCCGCAGCAATGGCTTCGAACGCAGTCACTCTAATGGTGTTGATTATGGTGTCGCTGATGGTGACGAGGCCCTTTATGGTGATGGCGAGCATGAGGAGAGCCAGCGTGTCTTACATACGCTCAGACCGTGGCAATTTCTTCATGGCGGAAGGGAAGACAGTCCCTTTGGAAAATATTTTGCTTGTTGGCGCCGACCGGAGCTTATGTGAGATTCTTGTTCTGTGTTTGTGTGTGTGAGGGGGGGGGATGTGTGTGTGTGTGCATGTGTGTGTGTGTGTGCATGTGTGTATTTGTGTGTGTGTGTGTGTGTGTGTGTGTGTGTATGTGTGTGTGTGTGTGTGTGTGTGGGTAGGTGGGTGTGTATATCCATGACTATTAACGATCAAGGAGACTCATTTGTGCACATGAGTTTTCATACTTCCACGTGTGTTTATATATCGATATCGATCTGTATTTTTTAATGTTATAATTTATATTGATATATATACTTTACATACAGCGTAGTTGCTGGGTTGCTAAAAAATGAACATACCAATCACTTCGTCACATTTGGATATTTATCTTCCTCGTAATAATTCTACCTATCCATCTATCTATACCAGCTTCTCAACAGGAACAACGAAGGGAAGAACAAGAAAACACACGAATATGTCGAAGACCTTTTCGCTATTTTCTTGTTCTTCCCTTCGTTGTTCACTTGCAATTTGTTCGACATGAATTCCACACCAAGCCATCACCTCCCCAAACAGACAGCCAACGTACAAACACGTTTCTTTTATTAAATGAGAACCCAATCGTTATATTCCAAACACACACAGCAAACATTCAACAGATCTCTCTCTCTCTCTCTCTCTCTCTCTCTCTCCTCTCTCTCTCTCTCTCTCTCTCTCTCTCTCTCTCTCTCTCTCTCTCTCTCTCTCTCTCTCTCTCTCTCTCTCTCTCTCTCTCTCTCTCTCTCTCTCTCTCTCTCTCTCTCTCTCTCTCTCTCTCTCTCTCTCTCTCTCTCTCTCTCTCTCTCTCTCTCTCTCTCTCTCTCTCTCTCTCTCTCTCTCTCTCTCTTTAGATCCAGACGTCTAAATCTACCTCTTTTCCCATGCCCCCAGACCAGTGCAGGACCAAATGCCTTTCGAAAAGACGTCTAAATCTCCCTCTTCTCCAATCCCTCCCAGACCAGTTCAGGACCAAATTCCTTTCGAACAGACGCCTAATTCCCCTTCCCTTTCAATGCCTCCAGGCCAGTGCAAGACCAAATGCCTTTCGCTGAGTACGTGCGTCGCTTGGTCTCACGTGACTCTAGGGCAGGACTCGGCTGAATGTCGCTTGGCCGAGGCTGGACCCACGGACCACCCCAACGCCACCTACTTCTTCTTGGAAAGTGAGTGGTTGTGCCTGATTCCTTTTTATTCTAGTGTAAGTATATATGTGTGTATGTATGTATACACAGACACACACACACACATATATAAATGTGTGTGTGTGTGTACATAAATAAATAA